GGACCATTCAACCAAATTTCTATGCCTGTGTGTTCCAATGCAATAGTCCAGCAGTTTTCCACTTTTAAGAGCGTCATGTGGTTTCGAAATCCTGAATAACTATGCACTACAAATAAATGACATTGGGACAAAATTAGCAACATGCTAACTGACATTTCTGCAGAAGCAAAGCTATTAGCTGTTTATTAAAGATATTAAATCAATATCTATTGAATTTTATAGAATATCATGAACCCACAACGAGAAAATAATATCTCTTTACTTTAATCGTTGTGGTTTTTTATTTGGTTATCAAAATATTAAATCGATTATAAAAATTGTCAAAAATAATGATAAAACAGCATATCAAACCTTTGACACGCATTCAACACAGACATTTAACAAAAAATAGATGATAAATTTATACTAGTTATTGGAAAATGTTTCAAGACAAAAGAATTATAAATGGGAAAAATTGCCGATATAGAAATATTAATGATATCTATATTATCATCTATATATTTACTTAATTACCTATCACTTGTAATCGGAAAAATTTTCAATCTGGACAAATTGTTAATTATTTTCGGACTGCCAATAATGCCGATGATGTCCGACGTACATATTCCCTCTGATATCTGCACGACTACGACGGACTTCTCTATTTGGTCGGGTAAATTGATAATAATGAAGTTAAATATTTCCCATAATTATTTCAAATCAGTTAATATATTATTAAAGCGTTTTCCTGTTTTTCATGAACCATTTGGCCAAAGAAGTGCAAGCTCGCCCATTTATTCTTTGTTTGCAAGAATATGAAATCTTGTTGAATATGTGTATTTAAGAATATTTGCCATAAATATTGTATTTAATGATATTATACTTATATTTCGCTATTTCTTTTGTCCTGAATATAAATTAACAAATTCACATTTTTCTGTTGTCATTTAATGATAATTCCTAACGTTCTGTTAAGGGTGAGCTATGAACTCATCAGCCAAGGCCACAAATATCTCGCTTCCGACTCCTACTACAACATCCTCTCTTCCTCTCACATCAGTTCCTGCAATTCGAGCTCCACCAATTACCGCAACTGTCCGTCCCACTCCCCCAATTTCCATTCCAACAGCTATTACCACAAATAAGAAGAAAGCGTCACCATTTTCAGACGATAATTCTATTTGGACAATACCTCCAGTCCCCTCAAGCACTACCAGCATTGATGGCGACCACGACAAAAGCACCAACAGCCAAGATCCACCCTTGCCAAAATCTCCTCCAATAGAAGATAATAGTGGAGGTTCTCCTCAACCCTCTCAAACTCCACCACCACCTCCTCCAAATATTGGGGGCGGGCCCTGGTCTCCACTCTTTCGACCCGTTCCCTCTTCTCCCAGCTCTGCTTTCCACACCCCTCCGCCCATCGTGAAGCCCGTCGTTCGGCCCCCACCTTTTCCCAGTCCACAGCTTCCCTGTGTTCTTCCTCCACCTCCGTTAGCTTATCTCACTGATATCTCAACTCCTAGCGCTTCAACTCAATCCACAACCGTCTCAAATGTGGATTGTAGCACAGCGAAGGATGTATTTCCAAGTTCACCACCACCGATTGCGCCATCGTCAGTTGCAACCACAATGACCCATCAGCCGCAGCAGCAGTCACAACCAGTGGGTGTTTCACCGAGCGGAATTAGTCGGTTGAGTAGCGGAAGTGGGGGTAGTGGGAGTGTGCGGGAAGCGGTGCTTTGTAATTCTTGTGGACAACTTCACGACCCTCATGCGGCACATGTTTATGACTATAGTGAAATAGTGGATGCGGATTTATTATGCAGAGTAAGCACTTGTTGTTCGTAATGGTAATGATTTTCAAGTGCATCCTTGAGTGATTGATTTAAATTGGTTTGTCGAAGGTTAATTTACAACTTTACTACTTTTAAAGCGGTTTAAATTTCCTCATCTCAGGTAGCTGGATGAAAATTTGTTAAGATTTCCCATTTTATGTTTATTTTTGAAAACTTCCTTTATGTGCCCTTTTATTCTCAATATTTGAGCCATTTAAATAATAATTTCTTTATTTGAATGTTTGTTTTGTTTCATAACTTGGTTAAGTAATCTTCATTTGGTTTTCGTTCGGTTAGCAAACATAATGATACAAAGGCTAGTAGTGGACTAATCTTTTTACTCAATTGTATTTGTCATTATTGGTATCACCTGGTATTTGAAAATCATTTATAATTTTATTCCCTTTGAGTGAATCCAAAGGTTGAGTGGGACTACTATTGGCGACAGTAGAACGTGAAACTTTTGTTTACTTTTCAAAGCATTAAGTTATTCGCTTTCTCATAAGGCATATAATTCTTCTTGCAATGTCCAAATTTTCAATATTTAAATTGGCATGATGTGGGGTGCGTGATAGTTGATTGAGTTGATAGTTGTCATTCATTTGCACCTTCTTGCAGTCATAAGAAGGGATATTTTAAACATATCAGATGTTACGTCGTAGCATCCAATGAATCATACATTTGCTTCTATCTAAAGGTAATCGAGTAACTTCATAGATAAGAGCAAGGTTCTTACTCATTATAAGATAATTTACTTGCTGTCCTTGCTTTATTTATTGGTGACAAATTGAATTACTTAGAACTTGCATATTTGGACTCAGACACCCCAATGATTTGATTATTTTGAAATTTCTATCATGGCGTAATTTCATTATATAAATTCAAGTTTAAAAGTATACATTCACTTTATCAAATTTGGGCTAAATAGGCGTGTCAAATTTTAGTTTTCAGTGATTTAAAATTGTTGATTTTGAAGACTTCTCGAATAGGATCCGAGTTGTCCAATAATTGTAAGTTAATCGTAGAAAATTGGATTCGTGGTTGCCTACATTTTTGGTGGTTTCAAAATCGGAACTAAATCTCTCGTAGATTTTATCAATTACAAAGTCATTATTGCCGGTTGTGAACATTACCTCGATCATTATATTTGGAGCTTATAACAGTGTGAGACCTGCTAGATCTCCTACCATCCAATTGCCTGCCTTCCTTCCAGTGGATGTTTGGGACTTCTGCTTGTTCTTTCCATTTGTTCATGAACGCAGAAAAAAATGTGAGAAAATAGCGTTCCACATGTTATATGACTTGCCTTACAATTTGAAGTAGTTGAGTGGAACCGTTTGTATAAAACCTGGAAGCTGATAATTTACTTTAATTTGTGTCTCCTTCACATAAAGGCTGACCGTTGAAGGGGGGGGGGTGGAGATCGTTGATGCTTGGGATCCTTTAATATAAAAGCAGTTGCCTCCAAAACACTACTATGTACTTCTACTAAAACTCTAGAAACCCGATCGAATGTAACTCGGTTTTATTCCCTTGCAAAATTAATAACCTTACTGGTTAAAAACAAATGCCAAGTGGAAAACAAATGTTTATTGGATTCTCTAAAAGAATTGGAGGGATACTAGGCAGCAATTAGACTCCAGGAAAGACGTGGAAAGACGTTGACACAGCGTGAGTGGAAACGGGTAGGAATTACGCTCACCAAATGATATTGAGTGATAAACAACAAGTTCAAAACCTGGTGTACCTGGACAAGCATTTGTTTTCGATGGATTACTGGACCATAAATATCTCTTTGTTGTGGTCACGCATAAGGTTGCATATGGAGATGTGTTTGATTACTTGAAAGTAAAATTTGGATTTCAGTTCCATCCTAAGAAAAGATTGCCTTTATTCATCGTAAAATGGCATTTGTTGCAAACTTCTATGTGTTAGACACAAATTAGAGTATCTCGTTCGCGTTTGCCTTTTGTCTCCTTGTAGTCAAAATTTCTCCCATTGTTCCTTCCTGAAATGTGCCAGGCATTAGCCTCTAGGTCCTTTTTTATTTATTTACATTTGGCCGAACCCGAAAATGTTAATTATTAGCAACACACTGAGGAAAGTTCACATTTCCTATTGTATTCGGCCTTTGTTAACCGAATGTTTAGTTGATGGGTTTATAAAGGTGAGCAATCGCATATTATCGATGAAATAGTCTTGCTAAGGTTCCACTCTTTTTCCTCCACATCTTTCCATTTTCATCAAATAAAAATAACAACGAAAGAAGAAGGCCTAGTTATAGAACTCCATTGGGCGCAGATAGAAACCTTAAAGGGGTCTGAGAGGGTTGTTTAAGTACCTGGATATGTGTATGTATACAAATTTTTTTTTTATTTAGCCTGAAATAAGTTGGGACTGAGACAACATTCTCAACGTAATTTGGGAAATCATCTGATACCAATTTGCTGATATTTTTGTTCGGCCATTGTGAAAATGATAATCTCAGTCCCCACGTCGATTAACCGAGTTGGATGATCATGGTCGAATTCTTTGTCATGTGCTTTTCCGACGTTCCCTCTATGAAAAAGTATTAACTGTTTTCACCATACGATAGCAGGCCAGTAGGAAATGCAGTTGCTAAGACATCTGTTACTTTAGCGGAAACGAGCATCGAGGGATCCGTTAAGTCACCAATGGACTCCATATTTGCTCACGTTACTTCTCACTCTGGGCTTCTTTACTTATAAGAAGTTAAATTATCGTGTTTTTTGTACCTTCCCTGACCTTTTTCCCGTCTGTCCATTATTCCCATCACTGTGTGAGCGTATGTGTAGATGGGTGTCACTTTAAGTTTCAGACCCAGTAGACACATCGGTATTTTTCTCAGCTCTAACAAAGTAAAAGGCGAGAAGTCATTACTACGACATCCGCCCATAGTTTTTGTTAGGCACAAAGCGATGGTCAAGGAGTAGGTGGGGTTATGATGAGTCATAAGTGAGTTTATGTAGACACTCGTGCCTTCTCTTACTACTTAGCTCTATGATTTAAGCTTCTGTCCTCACAGCCTGTTCAAAAATATTCAATTTTTGAGTATTCTTTTTGTAATTAAGGTGCAATCTCTGTTGATCTATTATTGTACTCATCGAAATACCAGGAAGAGTTTTTCTGGGTAATTAGGTCAAATTATCAATTAAATAACTCATTATTCTACTCTTTGAAGAAATAGATCTTTTATTAATGCTCCCAATCGTTACTTTTGCGTCAGTATTCCAAAATGGTAAGGTATTTGAGTGCTTATGGTAGCTATTTTTCCCTGCTGGTGTGTGTATTTACCCCTTTCCTAGCAAAATTTGTATCCTTTGTCCGTTCTTGAAAATTCAAAAAAATAAATGTTTTTATGTTCACCTGTGGAATGGTTTGGATGGTGCTAACTAAAATCAAGCTTTCGGTTTAACTTGAACCTTTGGGGATTTATTGCCACATTCGATCTAAGAATTCATCCACAGTTTCCCAAGCCACTATTTAGACCTTTACTATAAATCGTGGTTATTTAATGCAATCAATGCTAATTGATCCATCTTTGGTTCCATTGTCAATGCGTTCACTCCGTTAAGCGATTAATTTAATTTCGGTATTATATAATAAATGAGGCCCATAGTTAAGTTCTTAGCTGACAAAAAATCGTACGATTGAATCACATTCCGCTCTGGAAGACTTTCTGATATGCTCTCTTCTTCCCTGGTGTTTCTTAGAATCTATGCACTCACGGTAAATTCAGTTTTCTTCCTTCTTAACCTTATTGTAATCTATTTCTTGTAATTTAGCGCATTTGTTTAGATTAGGCAAACTTGCGCCGTCTTCGTCCTTTAGATAGAACGGGACCGACTGAAAAGGAATTATTCCCTATTTCCTTAGATAAGCTTGACGACCTTGTATTCTCGAGCCTATTTTAAAGACTCTAAGAAATGCCTCTTGACTGCCTCTCCCTCCTCTACCTCCCTCCCCCCTTCCCTGCATTCCTGCTGTAGTCAAGGTCACATGCGTTACGTCAGTGAATGCTAAGCCAATGTAGGGGCCGAGTTAGAGGCGTTCCCAAACTCATGCTTGTCTGTTTGAGTTTTGGTTCCCACTTATCTCGGTTTATTGATTGTATTTACACTCTTCTTATCTAATCGACATGAAATTTACCTTTTTGAGGGACATATCTTATCATTCAGAGTACTTGTTATATACATATATATATATATATATATATATATATATATATATGTATCAATTCAGTAGATATCTGCATATGTATATATTTTGTATGTGGTAGCTTAAACAGGTGATATCCCATTCCTTTTCGGCCATTTCTGACTTCTGTCAGTTGTCAAATAAACTTCTGTTCGTTCATCGGAAGCAGGAAAGTTCACATCTGGAAGTGCACATTCCATCGAATATATTTTCCCACTCCGTCACGTGCTCCTACCATTTTTATAAATCGGTGTGTATATTCACAACCATGGAATTACGTCGTTTATTAACGTGAAAGTGGGATTTAGGAAGATAAGTGAAATAGGAGTGGAAATATTTGTCAATGATCTTGACAGGTTTCGTTCTAATAGTACAATGGCTGAAGTTTTTTGACACTATGAGTTCAAAACTTCATCATTCCCACCATTCGAGGATAATCCTCGATAGAATTCTGGATGTTTTCCCTGTCAACTAAAGCATTTATTATTTATACCAAATGGCAGGCGTTTTGATAGTTATTAGTAGTCCTTTAGTTGCCTTCAGGCTTCTCAGAGGGGGAAGGTACTTCAAAGTGAAAAAAATCGAGAGGGGGGGGGAGGGAACAGAAGAGTGTTTCACAGATGTAGAAGAGATAGACAGACAAAGGTAGAAAAAGGGTGAGGTGAGTACTGTGAAAGTAGTCGAATATGACATACAAAGGGGTGATGGTAGTTTGAAGTGAGAAGTCAACTGTCGGTTAATAGACTTTTTGCCGTATGAGTATACGTTGCCCAGGGTGCATCACGTGGAAGGCTC